GGACGAATTGGGGAATGGGGCGGAGCAGATGAAGGGTTCACAGAGGACAGTCAGATGCTGAGAGAATGTCTTCTTCTTCTTCTTCTTCTTCTTCTTCTTCTTCTTCTTCTTCTTCTTCTTCTTCTTCTTCTTCTTCTTCTTCTTCTTCTTCTTCTTCTTCTAATAGTAATAAGGATTATAATGATGATGATGTAATAATGATAATAATAATACTAATAATTGCATTTGTTACAATAGCGCATATCCATGCTCTTCAGCAGGCATAGGCAAACTACGACCCACAGGCCAGATCCGGCTTGCAAGCAATTTCTGTCCCGCCCACGAGCTGAGCCAGTAGTCAGTTCTGAATGTGGTCCGTAATGAGTTAATAATCAAAACCAAACTGTCCATTTTGAAAATGGAAATTAATAGATTCCGCCCGAGATGAAAGCAGTAGGTCTAACGATTTTTTCTTTCAATAAATGCCCTCGAATGACATATGTCATAATGTCAGTTTCAGTCTGACTTTTGAGAGCGTGGGGTATTTCACTCAGTTTTCTCCTACTCTGACCTGACTGCAAGATATTCAGAATGACTTAATTCAGCCTATGAATTCGACAAGCTTGCCCATGCCTGCTGTAAGGCATGCTCTATGCACTGTTCAACTATCAGTTGTTTGTAGAGGATCAGCTCTTGCTCTGGTGTTGAAAGCTGCGGCTTTGTCTTTGGTCCACAGACATCCACATTTGCCGTGCCTTCAGGTTGGACAAGAACAAAAACACACTTATCTGCCCTTGGAGGTAAGAACAAAATGGTTGTTGGTCGTGTCTTTGTCTGGGATTTTTTTTTTTACAGTGTTCTTAACTGTTGGAGTGTTGCTGACAAATAGCCTGTGGTGTCGGTGGAAATTGTACAATTTCACCATATTATGTTGCAAACTGCTGAATGACAGGCAAATAAAGCGAATAAAGACCATTATTTTCAGAAAGTAAGTGGAAAATAGAGCTGATTTTGAAAGGAGTTGAAATATTAAGTGATGTAATAAAAACAACGAGATAAATGAACCGAGATAGCAACTCTTTTATTATTGGAAGATTCAAGGTCACAAGCTCACCGAGACCCCTTTCGTCACGCCTTTGTTTATACACATTCGTTCTCAAAACTACTACTCTGTACTTGACACCCAAGGGAAAAAGACTATCCATGGCCGTAATATTGCGAATTTTTAAAAGCCAGATCACTTTTTTATTTGTTGATTACTAAATCATATGTGAGGCAGCATGGTGAAATCAGGCGCTGGTCAAAATAATAAAAGTGAAGAAACTGTCATTTTTCGGCAGGTTTGGGAATTTTTTATTGAATTTTTGTTTTTTGCCTCAACACCTTCTATGCCCAGTAAAAACATATTTCATTTCAGTGTGGATTTTTACTGAAAAACCTTGATTAAATGCTTAAAAGATGTAAATTTTAAGTTTCCACGGGCTCTCAAGCTAAGGAAATGACTAAACTTTGGCGGCCATTTTCTCGCTAATTTTACCTAAGAAACCAGTCGACCACCATCTTCTTCAATCGCAAATATCTCGACTTGTATCCAAGATAAATGGGTATTGTTTTCATCGAAAGCAAGGCAGATGGATAGGCTTTAAGATAGATACCAATAACTCCATATGCCTAAAAATTGACGAGCACCTCATTCTACTGCATCATGACACATATTATGCTGGTGGGTGGGCAGTGGGCAGCCCTGCTCTCTGTGGGGTTGCAACTTTGTCTCACAAGTACAAGAAATAGCAGGCTGCGGTTGTTGTAATGCGCAAAAACTTTGGGGCTATGGTTTATTTTCATTACATTTTGTTTGTTCTTTCAACTGCCTCTTGTGTAGCATGACAGACAAAGTGGGTGGTTGGTGGGTGCTCTGGTGTGGTTTGCTCCTTCTTTCCTATCAAACATCTATCGTCCTTATCTCTCCTCCTTCTTTTTTTTGTATGTTACTCTCTAGTAACACCTCTAATCTTCGGCACTTATATGACCTTATTGTGTTGCAAGTGCCGTAAAACTCTTACTAAAACTAAACTAACAAACAAACCCGCAAAAAAAAATTTGATAAAAATTTATTTCTTTTCTCTCTCTCTCCCCTCAGGTGTGCAATGTTGTGGGTGGACAGCGCTGTATCAAAAAGCTAACAGACTTACAGACATCGACCATGATCAAGGTCTCCTTATTCTTTTTGTACTGTCTGTCTCGTGCTTCTAATTTGAGTTGCTTTTTTTTCTTTAAAATCTTAAATTCAAATAGAAGGTAGAAGAGCGCAGAGGAAGGCCAAGAAGAAGGTATTTATACAGTGTGAACAGATGGGTTACGGGAAAAGACCTGGATAATATCGGTCATGGGAGAGTATCCAAGCAGAGGAAGATGACTTCTTTAACTCTTGTCCTGCATCTGTGCTGAGATGCGAATCTTATCAGCAACTGATTACGTTGGACAATCCGGGCTGGCTGCCGGGGTCACTCAGTGTGTACTGTTAGTGTACAGCGCGCGCGCTGGGAAACGTGTGTTTTCGCCATGAATACCGTGGGAGTGTGTTAATCGATGATGAAAATAACGCTCTATCTTTTATAGCTTTCTATTTATAAAGTGTTACGAATGCATGAATAACCCCATCTCATAAGCTGATAAGACATTACGAGTAGTTACGCCCCTTCGAATAACCTTTTTAGATGTTCTTGTTGTTATGAATGACCTGGGGTTCCAAAGGGGTTAATATAGGTCAAGTTCCGAATGTTTTGCGCTCAAGTTGTTCTTTTTACCTGTACAATGGTATTCAAAATGATCAAACAAGCTTCTTTTTTATCAGGTAGTATCATTTCATACAAAATCAAGCTCCTGTGAAAGATTTTTAATAGAAAAATGGAAATCTTGTTTCCTGACTATCCTTTCGAGCTCCTCATGTCTAAGTGGGTCAATTTCTTCTATAATTCATTGGACGAACATCTATAGCTACCAACTTGGTGTGTTTTGAATGATACGTATGCCTCGGTTACGAACCAACGCAGGCGGTTCTAGAAGTAGGCCTCAAATGGACACTAACTCGAGCAGACTGACGCACACACACTTGAGATGCGGATCCGACGCGGGACCCGAATGGAACGGAGATGATGCTTGGCGCGCGTGCGCTGAGCCACGGGCTAGACTGACGCGGGACTAAAACGAAGGCGAGGTGTTGAAATAGGCTTATCGGGCGACATAAACCCGGCCCCTGCAGGACGAGGGTTAAAGTAAAGAGAGTGGGTGGAAAAGGATTTCTTTTGTTTCTCTCGGTGATTTGGTAAATTAAACTTGTTCAAGCATTTGTGACATAGAGTTGCCCACCTGCATATTATTCTTTTCTCAGCAGGAAGTCAGTGCAGTTTTGGTAAAGAAAAAATGTTGCAAAGTCTATAGCTTTGTTTTCTGTAAATCTGTAAGATAAGATGTGCACCATTGTTTTGAACAATTTTGAATTTGTATCACTCTTTCAGGAGATGTTTCTGATAAAGAGTTACAATGACTGAGTCTTGATAATACTTATGTTTGTGATAAATGGGATCTTTACTGTGGAACTGACCTGTTTGAGCCAAGTATAGTGTTGCAGATTTGTTCACCAGTCTTTTCTCTCCCTCCCCCAGGCCACAGCGAGGTCAGCTCCAGACAGAGAGAAAGAAATTAACAACTTGGTAAGTCCTCCTTGTGTGATTTCTGCTGGTTACAGGACAGATGAGATTAAGCTTAATTCTCCAGATACTGGCTCTTTGGTCAGATGCTTCACCGCATGTACACACACACACACATACACATGCACACGTACGCACGCACACTCACACAAACACACATGCACACACACACACACTCCCTCTCTCTCTCTCTCCCTACCAGATGTTGGCCACACATACAACCATAGGTTTACTCTATTGCTTCATAACCCTATGGATCCGAACATGCACAAGCTACAGTGTGCTGCACCCTGAACGCACATGTCGGCGTGGGATATATACGTGGGTCTCAATATTCCACTATTTGGCAGATTTCTGCTACCACCATTTCCTCCGCTAGACTCCGCTGCTGGGAGGGACACCTCCCAGTAATGCGCTACCACTTTCTGTACATAATCAAGATTGTAAATAATAGTTGGTTAGTGACTCATTTACTTGAAATTATCTTCCAAACCCTCAAATTGGTATGAAATAACCTTGCTTTGATAAACTGGTGGTTTTTATTTCAGCATTCTAGGGTTAAACAGTATAATAATGATGGGGGTCTCGCGAAAAAGATCTTCTGTCACGATCACGCGGAAAGTTCCTCTTTTTTTTAAATTCTGAGACCCATGTATATAAATCGAGCAGTCAACCGTGGAGAGCCAATCAATGCAGGAGCTGTAGGTTCAGGGAACTTGTCCTAGACGGCCACCCATTGTCTAGCAGAAAGGTGGTTGTCTTAGAGAGGTGGACGTCTTACACCATGTCTTTATGATGTAAAAAAAACTACACGAGGGAAGAAATGGGAAGTGGCCTTTTTGTACAGGTGATTGTCTTATACAGGTGGCAGTCGGAACAGGTTCAACTGTATTTGAGATGGACCAAATAGGCAGGGTATTCGGAATGCATGGATGAAAGTACCTTCTCCTATAGATGATGAGAATGTTTTTATCAAGTTGGCTCTAAAGAGACAATGGAAGCTGCAGAGTCGTAGACAGGCTATGCGGTTAGGTTTTTAACACTGTGGAGGGAGAACAAAAACTACATGTTAGATCGGTGTAGGTGAGACAGAAGAATAGTTCTCAAGTCGTGCTAATCTTCTGTCGGGGGAAATAATTGACTAAAGGTAAGCTCTCAAACTTTTAATGGCTTTTTTGGGGGGTGTATGCAAACGAATGTGTGAGAGTTGGAGAAATTGTTCTTTATTTTTGGCTGCTCGGCCCTCGGGACCGAGTGTTCAAGGCCGACTTTGGTAAGGACTTGTACCTGAAGACATTTGGTCTGCGCGTCAGCTCCAACATGACGGAGGTCAGAGGTCGGGTGCTGCCGCCGCCCAAGATTCTATACGGTGGCCGGGTAGGCCTCGTCACTACTTGGCTTGATCATAATCATATCTTCTCTCAGTCGTTCCTTCCTCCCACATCCCCCCCCCCTACCCCACACATCATTTAACCCTCCCTTTTTTTCCCCTTCCTTTCATCTTCCCATTCCATTCCTCATCCATCACCACCCAAAAAGACTCTTGCAGGAACAGTTGTGCATGCATGCATGCTTACACATACTCTCTCACACAAACACCCAAGCTCACAGTCTGATTCCCTGTAAAGACTTCTATGTTGACACCCACCCCTTGGCGCTCATATGACCTTATGCAGTTGCGAGGGTGGTAAAGACACTAACCAAAACAAAACAAACAAACTCTTATTATGTGGTAGGATTTTGGGGGAAAACTCCAACTTTTTGTCAAAATTGGTTGTCAGGTCTACAAGATGTTTGGTAATGACTGTGATTCTTTTTTTTCTGCCACCAGCTATACTCCTGTCGGCCGCTCCTTCTTCTCCCCGCCTGAGGGCTACAACCATCCGCTGGGTGGGGGGCGAGAGGTTTGGTTCGGTTTCCACCAGTCCGTCCGTCCGTCCCACTGGAAAATGATGCTCAACATTGATGGTGAATATAACCTGTTTGCTCGTTTTCTTGTTGTTTTGATTTTTGCTTTACCCTTTTTATGCGAGAAGTTGATGCTTGCTTTTGGATGCAGTAGAATGGTTTTGTTATGTGTGTCACATTTCAGACTGAATTAGACAGGGTTCCTGCGGCCTCCTTGAATTCAAGGAGTCCTTGAAAACTCCTTGAATTTGCATTGAAGGAAAAATCTCTTGGAAGTCTCCTTAAATTTTAGGAACCTCCTTGAAAACTCTTTGAATTTTGCTAGATCAGACATGAACAAAATTTTTGTCGGAACATTGAAACTATAATTAATTCCTTTAAGATGAGTGTAGGCCTGACTTCGAGTTGGGGAAAAAAAGGTGGCGTGGAAAGGAACTGGCCACCCTACCACAATATGCCGAAGGCCCAGGAAGTTGTCTCAACAATAAGGCAATCCCCAATGTCTGGATCAGATGCGGGAACAACTTTACTTTATCTCAGTGGTTGCTTTAATTGCTTTATGACTTTGATAGTATTGGTGAACCCGTTAAACCAGCTTTTACAGGGTGACCTTTCTCTGTCGCACTAATTGTCGAACCAAATTTATAGCTTGCAAAGAAAATGAATAGATCCTGTGAAAACTGTTTTTGTTTTCGCCTGCATCAAAAGTAAGCTGGCCAAATTCCTAGAAACTGGTTTGCTACCTTTTTTGACCTACTATGCGGGCATCCTCTGGTTCTCCAGGTTTGATTGATATATTTTTGTGATTGTCTTTGGTGTGAACTCCATTTGGTGGGTGATTTGTGGGTGCTTTAGTGGGGTTTGCTCCTTCTTTCCTATCAAACCTATATCGTCCTTATCTCTCCTACTTTTATTTTTATGTTATCATCTGATTCTAGTAACACCTCTAATCTTCGGCACTCAGTTTATGTCCTAATTGTGTTGCAAGTGTCGTAAAAGTCTTGCTTAAACTAAGAACTCGGCTTCATTTTCTTCTCATACCCTTGCTAGTGCTAAGGAAGTTACTGACTTCATCTTTCGGTGCAGTTCATTTTAATGTACACAGCTGTTTTACAAAGAATATAGAGTCATCCCTTGCCTGGCTGTCGGCAAAACTTCCACTGGGGACCTCTTAAATTTTTTTTCCTTATCAGAGAAGCCTAGGTGCTTATCTTACCTACCCTAGGATCAGGGGTGTAGAAAACATGAAAACTTCACACTTGAGCGGATCAAACTCTGGATCTCCAGGTTGACAGGCAAATGCTGCACCTTTTGAGCTGTTGAGCCCCCTCTCAGTTTAATTTTTTTGGTAATGGTTTCTGTTTTGTTCTTCTTTCCTTCCCCAGTGTCTGCCACTGCCTTCTACAAAGAACAACCGGTGATTGAGTTCATGTGCGAGGTGCTGGAATTGCCAGATATCAACGACCAGAAGCGCCCTCTGGCGGATTCCCAACGAGTCAAGTTCACAAAAGAAATCAGAGGTGGGGTTCTGGGTTTTTAAAAATCTTTAGTTTGAGGCGAGGAGAAGGAGTGGCGGACAGGAGTATAGCTGGTCGCTAGAGCTGGGTCGGGAGCGTGATAACGGAACTGAATCGACACTGTTCCCTGCCAAACGTGATTCGCGATTCACTTCAGCGGAACGTGAACAGTATCGCCTTCCGAATCCCGATTCATTCCCCTGTCGCTGTTACCACCTTGAGGCTTGATGGTAGATCTAACCTACTGCTGGGTCGCGAGTCGAGTCACGAGCGCAAGAACGGAACGGAACACGTAGCATGGCTCCCTTTATTTTACAAAAGATGGCATAGTCCAACCCCCTTTTTAAAACAAAATGAAGGAGTTCCAACCAATAGACAGAAGGAATTTTAATGAAGCCATTACATTGTTTTAGCGAATCATTGGAAGGGGGGGGGGGGCTTAATTTATGGGGGTCGCTAATTGAGGTCAGTAGAGCTGTGCAACGAAGGGTGGGGGGGCGGAGAGGATGATGGGGCAGCAAGAGTGGGACTCGCAAAGTGGCGTTGATAAATATGACACTGTTCCGTTTAGCTCACACAACGAGCCCGAGGCTTAAGGTTCCACGAGTGCTCGCGTACTCATGATTCTTTGAAGCCGACTGAATCGCGAATCGCCACTCTCAGATTTGGCGAGCAGGATCCAGCTCTACTGGTAGCTGAGAAAAAGAACTAACGTTATTACCAAATCCTTTTTCATATGTGTTCTTTGCGTATTTGTAAAGAACAAGCTACTTTGAGAAAAAAAAATCTGCTCGCTTGTCTGTCTGGATTGGTTTGTAACGAATTCAGGGTTTGGTGGCGACCGACAGTGGCATTGTTTGTAAACTGTTCTCTATTTGCGTAATAGTGTGTATTTATGTATGTATGTATTTATGCATGTATGTATTTATGTATGTACGTATTTATAATTATGTATTTATGTATGTATGTTTGCCATTCTACAACAAAGTGCCCTTCTGGGACAAATAAAAGTGTAATTTATTATTATTATTTATTATTTTAGGAGACTTTGATTTTTAAGGAGGATTCTGAGGAAAGTTATTTTTTGTGGTTTTTGGTCATATGGGTTGGGGAAGGGAGGAGGAAGGGGGGGGGGGGTGTTGGCAAGTCTGTATTACGTCCTGCTGAGAGGTGCCTCATATTCTCCTGGTATAGTACAACTTCTGTTGCCTTCAGATTCGGGAAATCTGTAACAATATGTTTAATATGTTTTATCTAACAGGTAGATCTCAAATCTTTTTAACGTCGGTAGTAAGTTACAATACTATTTGTTCATGAAGTCAGTTTAATGGTTTGATTTGTAAAAAAAAAAAGTAAAGTTGTTCCCGCGTCCACTTTGGACATTGAGGATTGCTTTGTTAGTGAGACAATTTGATTTGTACCTTACTTAAAAAATTATTTTATTTGTTCTCTACTGTGAAAATAAAAACCAGGTCTCAAAGTGGAAATCACGCACTGTGGAACAATGAAACGCAAGTACAGAGTGTGCAACGTCACGCGGCGGCCGGCCCAGACACAATCGTAAGTGGGAGCTGGCGGACCATTTGCATGGCGATGGGGAGAGGGGGGGGGGGGGAGACAGAGAGAGAGAGAGAGAGAGAGAGGGAGGGAGAGAGAGAGAGAGAGAGAGAGAGAGAGGGGGGGGGGGGTGTTAGTCATTCTTCCGGGGGGTGGTGTCCTGAATTCAGGAAAATAGGGGAATGTTCTCTCAGCCTTCTGTTGCTTGTTACAATTTTGTACTCATCTACTAGTTTGTAATACCATAATTTATTTTCTTTAGTTAACCCGTTGTAGACCTTAGACATCAGGGGTAACCAGAAGTAGCTTCTGCAGCCCGTGAAACAATTGAAGATTACAGTGGAGAAAACTGGTGATGTCCAAACTGAGCCCTTGTCTCCAAGTCCCGACTGTTCAGCACAACGATAACATAAAAAACTTAGATAATAATACTAATAATAAATAGCATTTGTAAAGAGCATGTCCCCACTCGAAAGCAAGCTCTATGCTTTACACTGTATTATTACCCCAGCAGACCATAGAACACTCAGTAACATTCTCAGCTTCCCGGGAAGCATACAGTGCGAGCAGCTGGTTAAGCGCTCAAACACTAACAAACTGACAAGATCTTTCACTGTCTATAGCTGGGTACCCATTTTCGCGTGGGTGAAGTAGGGAAAATTCATGTAAAGTGCCTTTCCCAAGGACACAACGTCGGGCCCGTGGCTCGAACCCCCGAACCCGCAACCTCACGATTACGAGTCCGGTAGCCTAACCACTAGGCCACCGAAGCCACTGATAAAACCTGTCAAAGATAATACGTAGAGCTTGCTGTTGAGCGGGGATTTGCGCTTTACAAATGCTACCTATTATTATAACAGCTAGATAGACAGAAGAACACTAAAATTGTAAAGATTTTACGTAAGACAGAAACAGGAAGTCTCTGTATTGGAGGTGGGGGGTGAGGAAGGGGAATGGTTGTTTGTACAGGTGATTGTCTCGGACAGGTTTGCCGGTAGAGCCAGTTTGACTGTGATCCACTGTCTTAGCCTTGGACTCTTACACTGAGCTCTTCTGCCTTTCTCTCAGATTCCCCTTACAGCTGAACACCGGGCAGACCATTGAGTGCACAGTGGCTCGCTACTTCATGGAGAAGCACAAGATGAAATTACAGTGAGTTTTGTTAATGATAATGATAAGAGCAATAGTAATGATTGTAAGTGGGCGAAATTGTTTTGACACTTATGATAATAATAATCATAATTATTGTGATTTTCTTCTTCTTCTTCTTCTTCTTCTTCTTCTTCTTCTTCTTCTTCTTCTTCTTCTAATAGTAATAAGGATTATAATGATGATGATGTAATAATGATAATAATAATACTAATAATTGCATTTGTTACAATAGCGCATATCCATGCTCTTCAGCAGGCATAGGCAAACTACGACCCACAGGCCAGATCCGGCTTGCAAGCAATTTCTGTCCCGCCCACGAGCTGAGCCAGTAGTCAGTTCTGAATGTGGTCCGTAATGAGTTAATAATCAAAACCAAACTGTCCATTTTGAAAATGGAAATTAATAGATTCCGCCCGAGATGAAAGCAGTAGGTCTAACGATTTTTTCTTTCAATAAATGCCCTCGAATGACATATGTCATAATGTCAGTTTCAGTCTGACTTTTGAGAGCGTGGGGTATTTCACTCAGTTTTCTCCTACTCTGACCTGACTGCAAGATATTCAGAATGACTTAATTCAGCCTATGAATTCGACAAGCTTGCCCATGCCTGCTGTAAGGCATGCTCTATGCACTGTTCAACTATCAGTTGTTTGTAGAGGATCAGCTCTTGCTCTGGTGTTGAAAGCTGCGGCTTTGTCTTTGGTCCACAGACATCCACATTTGCCGTGCCTTCAGGTTGGACAAGAACAAAAACACACTTATCTGCCCTTGGAGGTAAGAACAAAATGGTTGTTGGTCGTGTCTTTGTCTGGGATTTTTTTTTTTACAGTGTTCTTAACTGTTGGAGTGTTGCTGACAAATAGCCTGTGGTGTCGGTGGAAATTGTACAATTTCACCATATTATGTTGCAAACTGCTGAATGACAGGCAAATAAAGCGAATAAAGACCATTATTTTCAGAAAGTAAGTGGAAAATAGAGCTGATTTTGAAAGGAGTTGAAATATTAAGTGATGTAATAAAAACAACGAGATAAATGAACCGAGATAGCAACTCTTTTATTATTGGAAGATTCAAGGTCACAAGCTCACCGAGACCCCTTTCGTCACGCCTTTGTTTATACACATTCGTTCTCAAAACTACTACTCTGTACTTGACACCCAAGGGAAAAAGACTATCCATGGCCGTAATATTGCGAATTTTTAAAAGCCAGATCACTTTTTTATTTGTTGATTACTAAATCATATGTGAGGCAGCATGGTGAAATCAGGCGCTGGTCAAAATAATAAAAGTGAAGAAACTGTCATTTTTCGGCAGGTTTGGGAATTTTTTATTGAATTTTTGTTTTTTGCCTCAACACCTTCTATGCCCAGTAAAAACATATTTCATTTCAGTGTGGATTTTTACTGAAAAACCTTGATTAAATGCTTAAAAGATGTAAATTTTAAGTTTCCACGGGCTCTCAAGCTAAGGAAATGACTAAACTTTGGCGGCCATTTTCTCGCTAATTTTACCTAAGAAACCAGTCGACCACCATCTTCTTCAATCGCAAATATCTCGACTTGTATCCAAGATAAATGGGTATTGTTTTCATCGAAAGCAAGGCAGATGGACAGGCTTTAAGATAGATACCAATAACTCCATATGCCTAAAAATTGACGAACTCCTGATTCCACTGCGTCATGACACATATTATGCTGGTGGGTGGGCAGTGGGCAGCCCTGCTCTCTGTGGGGTTGCAACTTTGTCTCACAAGTACAAGAAATAGCAGGCTGCGGTTGTTGTAATGCGCAAAAACTTTGGGGCTATGGTTTATTTTCATTACATTTTGTTTGTTCTTTCAACTGCCTCTTGTGTAGCATGACAGACAAAGTGGGTGGTTGGCGGGTGCTCTGGTGTGGTTTGCTTCTTCTTTCCTGTCCAACATCTATCGTCTTTATCTCCCCTCCTTCTTTTTTGTGTTTGTTACTCTCTCGTAACACCTCTAATCTTTGGCACTTATATGACCTTATTGTGTTGCTAGTGCCGTAAAACACTTACTAAAACTAAACTAACAAACAAACCCGCAAACAAACATTTGATAATAATTTATTTCTTTTCTCTCTCTCTCCCCTCAGGTGTGCAATGTTGTGGGTGGACAGCGCTGTATCAAAAAGCTAACAGACTTACAGACATCGACCATGATCAAGGTCTCCCTAATCTTTTTGTCTATCTCTTTCGTGCATTTCTTATTTGAGTTGCTTTTTTTTCTTTAAAATCTTAAATTCAAATAGAAGGTAGAAGAGCGCAGAGGAAGGCCAAGAAGAAGGTATTTATACAGTGTGAACAGATGGGTTACGGGAAAAGACCTGGATAATATCGGTCATGGGAGAGTATCCAAGCAGAGGAAGATGACTTCTTTAACTCTTGTCCTGCATCTGTGCTGAGATGCGAATCTTATCAGCAACTGATTACGTTGGACAATCCGGGCTGGCTGCCGGGGTCACTCAGTGTGTACTGTTAGTGTACAGCGCGCGCGCTGGGAAACGTGTGTTTTCGCCATGAATACCGTGGGAGTGTGTTAATCGATGATGAAAATAACGCTCTATCTTTTATAGCTTTCTATTTATAAAGTGTTACGAATGCATGAATAACCCCATCTCATAAGCTGATAAGACATTACGAGTAGTTACGCCCCTTCGAATAACCTTTTTAGATGTTCTTGTTGTTATGAATGACCTGGGGTTCCAAAGGGGTTAATATAGGTCAAGTTCCGAATGTTTTGCGCTCAAGTTGTTCTTTTTACCTGTACAATGGTATTCAAAATGATCAAACAAGCTTCTTTTTTATCAGGTAGTATCATTTCATACAAAATCAAGCTCCTGTGAAAGATTTTTAATAGAAAAATGGAAATCTTGTTTCCTGACTATCCTTTCGAGCTCCTCATGTCTAAGTGGGTCAATTTCTTCTATAATTCATTGGACGAACATCTATAGCTACCAACTTGGTGTGTTTTGAATGATACGTATGCCTCGGTTACGAACCAACGCAGGCGGTTCTAGAAGTAGGCCTCAAATGGACACTAACTCGAGCAGACTGACGCACACACACTTGAGATGCGGATCCGACGCGGGACCCGAATGGAACGGAGATGATGCTTGGCGCGCGTGCGCTGAGCCACGGGCTAGACTGACGCGGGACTAAAACGAAGGCGAGGTGTTGAAATAGGCTTATCGGGCGACATAAACCCGGCCCCTGCAGGACGAGGGTTAAAGTAAAGAGAGTGGGTGGAAAAGGATTTCTTTTGTTTCTCTCGGTGATTTGGTAAATTAAACTTGTTCAAGCATTTGTGACATAGAGTTGCCCACCTGCATATTATTCTTTTCTCAGCAGGAAGTCAGTGCAGTTTTGGTAAAGAAAAAATGTTGCAAAGTCTATAGCTTTGTTTTCTGTAAATCTGTAAGATAAGATGTGCACCATTGTTTTGAACAATTTTGAATTTGTATCACTCTTTCAGGAGATGTTTCTGATAAAGAGTTACAATGACTGAGTCTTGATAATACTTATGTTTGTGATAAATGGGATCTTTACTGTGGAACTGACCTGTTTGAGCCAAGTATAGTGTTGCAGATTTGTTCACCAGTCTTTTCTCTCCCTCCCCCAGGCCACAGCGAGGTCAGCTCCAGACAGAGAGAAAGAAATTAACAACTTGGTAAGTCCTCCTTGTGTGATTTCTGCTGGTTACAGGACAGATGAGATTAAGCTTAATTCTCCAGATACTGGCTCTTTGGTCAGATGCTTCACCGCATGTACACACACACACACATACACATGCACACGTACGCACGCACACTCACACAAACACACATGCACACACACACACACTCCCTCTCTCTCTCTCTCCCTACCAGATGTTGGCCACACATACAACCATAGGTTTACTCTATTGCTTCATAACCCTATGGATCCGAACATGCACAAGCTACAGTGTGCTGCACCCTGAACGCACATGTCGGCGTGGGATATATACGTGGGTCTCAATATTCCACTATTTGGCAGATTTCTGCTACCACCATTTCCTCCGCTAGACTCCGCTGCTGGGAGGGACACCTCCCAGTAATGCGCTACCACTTTCTGTACATAATCAAGATTGTAAATAATAGTTGGTTAGTGACTCATTTACTTGAAATTATCTTCCAAACCCTCAAATTGGTATGAAATAACCTTGCTTTGATAAACTGGTGGTTTTTATTTCAGCATTCTAGGGTTAAACAGTATAATAATGATGGGGGTCTCGCGAAAAAGATCTTCTGTCACGATCACGCGGAAAGTTCCTCTTTTTTTTAAATTCTGAGACCCATGTATATAAATCGAGCAGTCAACCGTGGAGAGCCAATCAATGCAGGAGCTGTAGGTTCAGGGAACTTGTCCTAGACGGCCACCCATTGTCTAGCAGAAAGGTGGTTGTCTTAGAGAGGTGGACGTCTTACACCATGTCTTTATGATGTAAAAAAAACTACACGAGGGAAGAAATGGGAAGTGGCCTTTTTGTACAGGTGATTGTCTTATACAGGTGGCAGTCGGAACAGGTTCAACTGTATTTGAGATGGACCAAATAGGCAGGGTATTCGGAATGCATGGATGAAAGTACCTTCTCCTATAGATGATGAGAATGTTTTTATCAAGTTGGCTCTAAAGAGACAATGGAAGCTGCAGAGTCGTAGACAGGCTATGCGGTTAGGTTTTTAACACTGTGGAGGGAGAACAAAAACTACATGTTAGATCGGTGTAGGTGAGACAGAAGAATAGTTCTCAAGTCGTGCTAATCTTCTGTCGGGGGAAATAATTGACTAAAGGTAAGCTCTCAAACTTTTAATGGCTTTTTTGGGGGGTGTATGCAAACGAATGTGTGAGAGTTGGAGAAATTGTTCTTTATTTTTGGCTGCTCGGCCCTCGGTACCAGGTGGTCAAGGCCGACTTTGGTAAGGACTTGTACCTGAAGACATTTGGTCTGCGCGTCAGCTCCAACATGACGGAGGTCAGAGGTCGGGTGCTGCCGCCGCCCAAGATTCTATACGGTGGCCGGGTAGGCCTCGTCACTACTTGGCTTGATCATAATCATATCTTCTCTCAGTCGTTCCTTCCTCCCACATCCCCCCCCCCAACCCCACCCATCATTTAACCCTCCCTTTTTTTCCCCTTCCTTTCATCTTCCCATTCCATTCCTCATCCATCACCACCCAAAAAGACTCTTGCAGGAACAGTTGTGCATGCATGCATGCTTACACATACTCTCTCACACAAACACCCAAGCTCACAGTCTGATTCCCTGTAAAGACTTCTATGTTGACACCCACCCCTTGGCGCTCATATGACCTTATGCAGTTGCGAGCGCCGTAAAACCCTCTACTATAAAAAAAAAAAACCCCCAAAAAAAACTGTCCATCTCCTGCCATCAATGACACTGATTTAGACTGTTTTTACCAGCGTCTGTGGTGCTGTGGTTAAGTGCCTCTCCATCACATGTAACGGGCTTAGTTTCAATTCCTGTGTGGGGAGAATTTTGATTGAGTATGTCGTTGTCTCTGCTGTGTCGATGGGGGCGTAAAAACACATTCATTTTTTTGTTTTAACTGATTCCGTCAATGATTTTTTCAGGCTCTGGACAGAATTATTTTTCCTTGTTCAGTTTTAGACCTGGGGTGCATCTATTTAATGCATTACTGTGAAGCTCTTAGTTACTCTAATAGGTATTGTCATATACCAAAGTGATGGGAATCAATAGAGGAAGGAATCTGTTTATATCAATAACAATGACCTATTATCTGTTTGTATTGTATTTTCCGTCGACAAAAATGAACGAGAGAAAAAAAAATTTGCGAAACACCTCTTCAAAAATTTCGACTTACTGCATTTTCTCAGCTCTAAAAGTCCTTATATTCCGTAGGAATCAACACAAAATTGTAGCGATATCACCCAAGCACACATTTATGACAGAATTTCACAAATTTAGTTAAATATCTTTCTTTGAAGGGCCTTTTGATTATACCAGGCTCCGTGTTGTTTACCCTTAGATCTAGCCTACATAGCGACAACAAAATAACGATTTTTGCAAGAATTTCGCGGAGGTTCGATAGATATTGGCGCTCAGAGATTGAGGTCAGGTTTGTTTACAAGTTCTACTTCCTTTCGACAACTTAAAAAGTAGGAACTAAGTTAAAAAGTGCACATTTGTTTAGGATTTCGTTGAGCCGCTCACAGCGGTCGAATGGAGGCAGCGGGAAAACTCGGAGCCGCTGTCAGCGGCCGAATGGACGGAATCAGTTAAATTGAGACCGTATTTACATTTTACCTCTGGGAGTTTCTCTTCTTCCCTAATAAGACGCAGGTGTTTTTATATGTCCCTTACAACACAAGTCAGGTCATTTAGGAGGCGGGCTTTGACTCAGCCTGTCAGGGTCAATCATCCCGAAGAAGGATGCACAACATCGCGGCAGAAAGACTGCGATAAAATAGTCTCAAGAAGTCAGTAAAGCTTCATCACTGTCTTTGCCACTGTCCTTTTTCCTTTTTTTCCCCCATGCATGATGACTTTACCCCAATGTGTATCACATCCCCCAAGTCTTACCCTTCATGGCGGACTACGGTCACTTGGCTGGAGTTGTCCAATGAAGTAAGCTGGTCCTCCTATTTTACTTTTGCCTCCTTGCCTGTCAGATCCGTAAGGCCAACTTCAATGCAGACCCCTATCTCCAAACCTTTGGCATCAGCATCAACACGCAAATGATGGACGTTCAGGGTCGTGTGTTGACGGCTCCCAAGTTGCAATATGGTGGACGGGTAAGGACGGGCTAGCTTATTGATCTGCACCAGGGGTCACCAAACGACGGCTTGCAGGGTCAGATCTGGCCCGCGAGGTCAGTTCGTGTGACCCGCTGCTATGTCACGATGCGAGAAAAAAACTTGTCGAATGTGTTTATAGCTTGCTCCAGATTTAGTCACCGAAATAGTAAACTCATTTCATCAAACTCAATGGTGCAAATTAAATGTACTTTTGTGGACTTCATAACTTCTACCTAATTCATCACTCTCTTTCTGGGCTTTAATGTGACAAATCTTCAATTTAACACATCAGTATACTGTATTGAACAAAATAGTTTTCGGGCCCGCACTCTGCATTTTCTCTGTTATCTAACCCATTTTGAAGCAAGTTTGGTGACCCCTGCTCTGCATTGTTGGTTGAGGGTAGGGATGGGCTGGTCTATCTCTCTATTTTGTTAGTTGGACTTTGGTGTCTTTTTTTTTTTTACCCTCTCTCATTCTCTCTCTCTCTCTCTCTTTTTTTTTTTTTTTTTTTTTTTTTTTTTTTTTTTTTTTTTTTTTTTTACCCTCCGGCCTGAGTTTTTGCAGAAACAGAACAGGGAGCTCGGTTAACTGTTTTGTTTTTGCTAGTTTTATTTGTTGTCGTTTTTGGTTTTTGTATTTTTAAAATTTTTTGTATCTATTTACTTATTTATTTATTTTATTTATTTATTTATTCGTATTGTGTTAGTATGTTTTTGTGGGGGGAGGGAGGTGAACAGTTGCTGCCAAACTTTGTCTTATTGTAAATTTTGCACCCAACTTTGAAAAGAAATAGGGAAGTATGACTATATTGTTTGTGACTTTACCATTACATTTGTTTTGCTTTTATTTTGGTTTTTTTGTGGTCACTCCTCAATATGCATGCCACAATGTCTCATCTGCCCTACTGAATAAGCATGCTGATGACCTTATGAGAAGATGTCTCCCCCCCTTGATATATTACTCACCTGTCCTGAGTGCAATGATGCCCCAATGCATTTATGAGACCTTTTAGTCTCAATGGTTTGCGCTGTGAGCAAATTATGATCTCTATTTGTGTGATGTAAAGAATGGGCTTGTTCTTATACTCTTTTGGATTATCCAGAGGTGCCAGATTTCTGAAATTGTCCTGATTTTGTTTGACTTCTGCATGTGGTCTTGCATTCTTTATAAAATGAAAGAATAAAGTTTTGAAACAAGATGTATTCAACCGTATGAATTGGACCATGTGATCCGTAACTATTGACCCCCCCCCCCCCCCCCCCCTCGTGTACTTCAGTGGGGTCCCAAAAGTTCAGGATTTTTTTATTGTCGCCATTTGGCTTCTCTGAGTATCAGTTGGTGTTTCTTTCAACCGCGCTTTTTTTCTTTAACCAATCTAAAAAAAAACCTCTGATCAGGTTTGCACAAAATACACAACTTACCGTAAATGGTGTGAAAATACACATAATTGCATGTATTTGCGATTCATGTTTAGTTGCGACACAGTTATGGAAGTAATTTATTAGTAAAAATTTGCTGTGTGATATTTTTTATAAGTATTTTAAAGAGAATTAAACAAAAAGACTTTTTTGTCTGCACAGAATTTAAATGGAATTTGTGAAATTATTGACTAAAATAGAAATTTTGTTAAGAATTTACATTTTGATGTTGGCCTTGAAAGGATAATTTTTGTTCTTTCATTGTGTTTTTAAAGTTGACAATTCTTCATTTTTCACACCCAACATCTTCTGTTAACCAGTGTTCAGATTTATTCTCTCTTTTGTTAAACTGTTCCCTGTAGTGATGTGTTTTTGAATACTGGTAGTTAATTTTATTGCCACGATTGTTTTGTGAATGTAAAAAATATTTCACATTTTCAGTGAAAATATTTTTCAAAACTACCTTTACAAGCGTTATTGTGTAAAAATTAATTTAATAGACATTATAACTTTTGTGTCTGTCATTTTTTGTGTGTGTCAAAGTGTGTATGTGTGTGTGATTGTGCCTAAATCATTTGTTATTGTATTTGAAATGATTAATCCCAAAGCTTTTGTGTCTGTGTGTGTGTGTGTGTGTCTGTGTGTGTGTGTTTTTGTGTAATTGTTGTGTCACAATTGTTATTGTATTTGAACTGATTAACTGTTTAAACCCCCATTGGACGCTGGGAGCGTCCGATACTAGTGACAACTGTCTCGTTGTATTTAGTGCCCTTGTATCACTTGTTTTTCGGAACTATTCTCGAACTTACTTTATTAGTAATGACTAAGCCTTTGCTTCCACCATTTAGAAGTTGGAGGCAAGCTTTTGGGATTATAATGAGGCATAATGCATTAGGTTTATGTGACTGTTGAAAAACTCAGGGAAATAGTGGAAAAAAACTCAGGGTTTAAAGAGTTAATCGACAAACATAACAATTGCCCTTGTATATTTGGATTAATTAATCATCTTATGACTTATCTATCTCTGCATCATGTTTGACTATATGTTTCTTGTGTGTCTAATGGTGCTGTTATAATTCTCACTGCATTTGAGCTAATTAGTCATATAGCTTTTCTTTCTCTGTTTGCCCGTGTGTGTGTGTGTGTGTGTGTGTGTGTGTGTGTGTGTGTGTGTGTGTGTGTATTATTGTATCTTGTTGATAGGTGCTCTGATGTGGTTTGCTCCTTCTTTCCTACCTTATCTATCATCCTTATTTCTCCTTTTTTATATGTGTTACTCTCTTGTACCTCCTTTATAGTGCTTATGGCCTTATTGTGTTGCAAGTACAGTAAAACACCTACTAAAACTAAGTTTAATGCTTGACCTTCTTTTCTTTGCATGTTACTATCTCGCAACACCTTTAATCTTTGGCACTTGTCTGACCTGATTGTATTACAAGTGCTGTAAAATTCTTACTAAAACTGAAACAAAATAACCTGTGTGATTGCGGGTGCTCTGGTGTGGTTTGCTCCTTCCATCTTATAAAAAATCTATCGTCTTTATCTCCCCTCCTTTTTTATGTTTGTTACTCCCTCTAATCTTCGGCACTTATATGACCTTATTGTGTTGCAAGTGCCGTAAAACTCTTACGAAAACTAAACTAATTTGTGTTGCAAGTGCAGTAAAACTCTTACTAAAACAAAATAACCCTGTTTGATTGTGCAGACCAAAGCCCAGGCCATCCCCAACCAGGGCGTGTGGGACATGAGGGGCAAGCAGTTCTACCAGGGCATCGAGATCGTTGTGTGGGCCGTGGCCTGCTTCGCACCTCAGAGGACTGTCAGGGAGGACGCTCTCAGGTGCGCTGTGTGTGCTTGTGGGGGGGGGGGGGGGGGGGGGGGGGGGGGGTTCCCCATTCTATTTTTACCTTTGGTGCTCGTTCCTCTTCTTCCTTAAATATAATTTGTGAGTTGTTGGTGGGTGTTCTGGTGTGGTTTGGTTCTTCTGTCCTATCGAACGTCTGTTCATCTTTATCTCTCCTCCTTTGTTCGTGGTTAGCGGGTGCTCTGGTGTGGTTTGCTTCTTCTTTCCTATCAAACATCTACATTATAAGAACATGGACTGGTCTGGATATGGCAGGGCAGAATGTGCAACGGCAGCTCGCAGCCGTGAAGGATGGAGGGTCATTACGCGTCAACCTCTTGAGTCAGAGATGACACCTACAGGTATCCAGGTATCAAATATCTATCATCCTTATCTTTCCTCCTTTGTGGGTGGTTGGCGGGTGCTCTGGTGTGGTTTGCTTCTTCTTTCCTTTCAAACATCTATCGTCCTTGTCTTTCCTCTTTCTTTTCTGTGTTTGTTCCGTGTTTGTAACTCCTATAACTCGAATCTTCGGCACTCCTGTGACTTTATTGTCTTGCAAGTGCCGTGAAATGCTTTTTATGACCTAGATAGAATATAGCTGTTTTGTATACCCCTCTTTGACACAATTTAAATCATTGTGGAGCCAGGCTTCGACCTTTTCTGTCAGGGTCAACTCAAGGCATGTGAGAGGGAAGCAACATCCCAGCGGAAAGATTGAGGTACTCAATAAAAATTCTCCCCACACGAAAAAGTTCCTCGTTATTGATAGTTGACTTGTTTGTGTACAGTGGAACCTGATTTAACAGCCACCTGTCTGAGACGTTTTTTTTT